TCCAGATCAAAATCTGAAGTCTCTTCACCATTTGAGCCACTGTTGACCTCCACAGTACCACTTCCAATATCCCCATCCCCTCCAGTTTTCACTGCCTTCCATCCAGCCATAGCGCTCAATGCCGGGTCCTTATTATCTTCCTTAATCTTCGCATTCAAAGTAAAAACCTCTTCCTTCTTAACCACAGCTGCCACTTTCTCCTCAACAAAATCCACCCTTTTCTCCTCAATTACCCCCCCATTTTCTGAAACATTATGTGTTTGCTCACTTGGAGGATCATCAATTTCAAAACCCAAGTCCTTCTTGCCCTCATTTTCGTTAGCCCCTTCATTAATCAGCACAGAATCACTACCATTTGCAACAACTATATTCAATTCAGCCTTCCTTGTTAAACCAACACCACCATCAGACCCTCTCTCACTCTTAACACAAGAAATCGGCATGAAACTCTTGTTCGAATGCCCCCTCCTCCGTTTCTCTCTGTCTTCCTCGTCGGGCGCAAACTCTGCAATCACATCATCCACAATACTATCGCAGTTCAACCCTTTCCCCCTCTCATTATCTCTAGTTTTCCCAAACACCGATGACGTAAACATCGAAGACAGCCTCTGCTTCCCCATCATCGCCGCCGCAGCAGTAAGCGAAGAATTGGGCTTTTTGGGCCGAGCCTCCTTCTCCTTGTCCTTATCCTTTTTCTCGGCTCTCCTCCTCTTCGGCCTATCGCCGCCGTCAGATTCATCGGAAGAAGGCCCAGCCCGGGTCCAATCCTCTTCCTCGCCCTCATCGCAATACCCCAGGCCATCGTCGTCGACAATGAAACCTCGAACCTCTTCGCGTCGTTTCGCGACTAGCGCGTCGTACTCGTCGTCACCGACCGTGTCGTAGATCGGGTTCTCCATCTTGATCTGGAACCCACCAGCTTCGGATCGGCGGCCGCCATGGCGAAGAGCTTTCAGGCGCTCGAGGGCTCCGGCACGTGCCGACGCCTCAGCTCCTCGGTTCCGCCGCCTCCCGACGGCCCCAATTGGCTGCTCGTCGTCCGCCATTGATATGTCTCTTCGATCTCAGTGCCAGACTGTCAAAGATACATACATATATGAATATCATACAGCACCATAACCCAGAATCATATCAATACATTTCCAGACCAAAAATTCAATTAATCGACAAAGAAAACATAAGAAACAAAATTCATCATTTTGAATCAAAATAAATAAAAAGACCGTTAAAACCGACCTTGGGAAAGAATCGCTGTTCGTTAGAGAACCAGAAGCTCTGAAAAGTCTGGGTCTTTTTGGGTTCTCTTGAGCCTTCTTCTTCCTCCAGCGGCGACAGTCTCAGGTTGAGTGGAGGTAGTGGTGCGAGGTGGGTTACATTCTTTACTATCTTACCCCTGCTTAAGTTAGCTTTAAGGAAGAGGTAGTCACAACATCAAGCGGGCTGATTTTTTTCTGTCTTAGGGGTATTTTTGACATAAAACTTTTTTGTGGTTTTGGCGGGAATGGGATTGGATTTTGGTGGTACAAAATGGCGGGAATGGTAGAGGGATCATGTCCTTGACTCGGTGAGCTGACTCGCATGCCAGGTGGCGCTACTCTATTCTATTAGAGCAACTCCACCCATTTGCCCCTTGCCATGGCAAGAGGAGCTAGGGCAGACATTATTTATGTGAATAGTAGTTACCCTTGCAAATAGTATTATGTGTTTCCACTCGTTGCCTTGGCAAATGGCAATTACTATTCATTTTTTTGTTTTTTTCACAAATTTGTTTACCTAAATAATTCATTTAGATAATATTTTCGGATAAAATTTTTGGGTTTGTACATGTCAATATTTATTATAAAATTCATATTTTAATCGGATAAAATTTTGGTATTTATAGAAAGAAAAAAAAAATCATTACTTTTTTGGTATTTTTTTTCATTTTTTTATTGCACAAAAATTGGCTGCCGTTGGAGAAAAAAATCTGATCAGAGAGCCCATAGTGCGACACGTGGACTTTAGCGGCACTGTAGCGTGTGGCATTGTAGCGATGACGTCGACACCAAAACGAGGGCTAGAGCTCGGGCCAACCTTGCCCTCGGGCCAGCCCAGGTTGCTGGGTCCCACCTTGTGCCCGGGCCTGGGCTCCTCATTGGAAACAGGTTTTTGTTTTTTTTCTTCCCCCCATCCTTGGGCTTAGCTCCTTGCTGGAGTTTATCTTAACTCTTCGTTTCCTTGAAGTGATATTATTAGCACCGTCAAAAAAAAACTTATTATTGAAAATGATGAGTGATAATAGTTTTATTCAAAATATTTCAAATATCATAACGAGGGGAGATACACAAATTATCACATGTACACTCATTTCAAATGATGACTAGCTTGCTTGTAGAATCATCCCAAACGGGGGTACAAGAGTATGATTTGTGTTTAATAGCATGCTTAGTGTGACTTCTCCAAATTAACTAAACTTGTAAGATTATGCAACATCTTTAATTAAAATGATATTTGATCAGGAATGATTTAAACTCGAAACCTCGCTTAGGATTAAGCAACTTTTTTGTGAATGTTATAACTTGTAGATTATCCCCATCCCAAATCAAGCATCTCCTTAAGCTTTTTGTTGAAGCGGCTAATAGAGTTAAGCAAGTATGCGAAGGGAAACATCTTCTCTTTTATAATAGTTAAGGAGATGCTTAACTTTATTGCTCAACTCTAAATAAAAATCTAAGCCCACCAAAGATATCAATGACTTAATTGTCATTCTTGTTTAATTAGAGTATTAATTCATGGATTTTTTAAGATGTGATCAATTTTTTTGAGGGATAGGAACTCGAACTTAGGTATAAGGAGATAGACTTACTATCCTAGCTCTATTCAAATGTGATCAAATCATTTACAAACATAAAAGTTTATCTCCCAAGTTAATGTCATTAATAATTTAGTAATTAGTTACTCATTTTCCTAATGTAGGGAGGGATTCCAACTACGGGCTGTTCACCAATAAAATAAAATATGGGGCAGTTGCAAAGAATCAACTAGTGCAGTGGTTTGGAGCTATTGTTCTCCAAGCAATATCCTATGTTAAGAGTCCTAGGATCTGTATAATGTATGTGAATTTAGTATATTATCATCCATCTCAATAGGAAAAGTCTTCAAAAATTATAATAAATAATAAATGGGGGCAGTTTGGTGTAGAGTGGATTTCAATACGTCATCATTTTTAGGATGTATCGTAGTTGTTGAAACAAAAAATCATCTTACTAAAAACAAAATATATGTTTATGAATTTAAGTCCATTGCGTAGAAGTTGAACCATGCCAATAGAAAATTCCTAGCCCAAATCTAGATATGTCTTCAAGAGAAACGCCTCTCTTTCTAGTGTTCAACATTGTTATATTCCCAGTTTAATGATTGATCGTATATAAGTTATCATTAAATATGCTTGTAGTTCAAATTAACAGTCTGACAATATAACATGTTAAACTTTAACTACGATTTAAGTGTAACAACCCTCGCCATCACCATAATTAATTATATTCTAATTCTCGTCACACTATAAACATTATGCTTTACAGGCATATCAACTTCGCATTAATTAAGGTCGTAGGTAGCCTTAGAATTATCAAAATAATGGATTAGGTTCTACAAGAGACAATTGCATGGAGGCCGTGACTACCCGCACCTAAAAATGACGCGCCTAATCTCAATATTAATTAGAAGCGTATGAAGATGGGATGGACATATCTGCATATACGTACGAATTGTTTTGTATTATCAGCTGGGGAATAAAAACAAGAAACGATGAGTCAACTCAACTGGTGATAGGGGATTGAGTATTGGGTTAGGATTAGAGTAAGTACATGATTCGGGTCATTCTGATGACCGATGTAATCTAAAAGATAGAGTAACAAATCAAAACAAATTTTAATGATGCATTTGTGTATGTGTGTTTTTTATTTTACTGTTGATATGTACATCTGTTTTGAATTTTATTTTTTTTATTTCATAACGAAAACATTCAATCTTATATAATAAGCGAACACAATGCATTCGAAGATTTTATTTATTTATTTTTAAATAGACAAAAAAGAAAAAGAGAAAAGGAAAACAATGATTCTTGCGTGCAATGTAAAAAGCTACATGTTTTACAACAGATATAAGATGGTTTTTATTATCAAATTAGTAGTTCACTATATATCTTTCTTATAAAATAAAAATTACTAACTAAATATCAAAATTGCTATGGCCGTTGTAGTTTTAAGGAATTGTTATTTACAGTTCAAAATAGTCACCATTCATTTGTGTAAATGCAATTTTTCTTTAAAGCGAAAACATCAAAATAATTTTTTTAAAGTACAGCAATTCCCTAATTTCATTGATAATAATATTAATCTTCAAATTTACAAGTAAGACTTCAAATCTTGTCTTCTCCTATTTTTAATAAAAATAATTCATTGTTTTTTTTTTAAATCCTAACAAACCCAAATTTAAGTGATGATATTCAATTGAACATAATATTTGTGAAATAGTACATCGTCTAACTCAATTGAGACATTATTGAAACAATAATAATGTTATTTGTAAATGTAGTCCAAATAGTAACACTCGCCAGTATATGTGAGATCCATCTATATTAAAAATATTGTCAATAATACGATCAGTAAATGTGATCCAAATATCAACATCCTTTCAAACAAATTCCTTATATCTTAATCATACAAAAAAAATATGACTAGAAAAAAGGATGGCAACTAGCTAAGTGTAACAAATGACCTTTTAACTTTAACAAATGTTAAATATAGTAAATATACTCACAAATTTACATTTATTTTATTTTACTTTTACGATTTAACAAAAATTGTGCACATTTTGGAAAACCTTGGGTCTTAAGCAATTGAATATCATATCCAAGTTACTATTTTTGGACATTAAATGCATTTTCACAAACGCTGGAGAAATAAGATGGGAGCTCCCAACCAACAGCCAAGTCGAGCCCCGCGTATTTACATTTTCACTCAAAAAGCAGAAGCAGCAGCAGCCAGCAGCCAGCAGCTACTTGTAGACACAGCAGATCCTTTTCCGATTCCAAAGAGTCCCATCACGCCAGCTGCCATTAACCTTTTCCACTATTTCTTCTTATTCTCTCTCTCTCACTAAGCTCTTAACTCTTCTTAAGCTCTCCCTTCTTGCAAAGCCACAGCTTCACACTTCTTCACACTTCTTCACACTGACCCATCAAACACAGCTCATGAGAAAGCAACAGAATTTGAAATGTCTGATAACCAAACAGAGCACATGAGCGACCACCTCTCGGAGCAGACCTCAATTTTTGGTCTTCGTTTGTGGATCGTTCTTGGGGTTTGCGTTGGAGCTGCTTTTGTGCTCGTTTTGTTTATCATTTCCCTCTGGTTGGCCTCCAAGCGATCCAAGAACAAAACTTTACAAAAACCCACAATCCCAATTGTCTCCAAAGAGATCCAGGAGATCAGGGTCGACCATGTTCGGACCCAAGTCCAAGCTTACCAATATCCTGAACCCGACCCAATTCCCAGAATCGAAAGGCAAGCCTTGCTGACGCCTACAGAGGATGAGAGCCCAATTGGGTACCAGAAAGTTCACATTGAGATTGGCAAGGACCATAGGATTACTTATCCAATTGGGTCTTCTTCTTCTCATGGAAGTGGGGAGGCTCGTGCTGTTGATCAGGTGGCTATGGTGGGACCTGAAGTTTCTCACTTGGGTTGGGGACATTGGTACACTCTGAGAGAGCTTGAGGTTGCAACAAATGGGTTTGTAGATGAGAATGTCATTGGTGAAGGAGGGTATGGGATTGTTTATCATGGTGTGTTGGAGGATAAAACTCAGGTTGCTGTCAAGAACTTGCTCAACAACAGGTTCTTTCTCTCTCTTTTTTTTGAAGTAATTCTTTTCTTTTATAGTGTTGTGTGTCGGTCAGTTGAGCTCTTATAATTTGAGGTTTAATTTGTGTTTGATTAATATAATTTTGTTAGACATTGTGTTGTACTAATTGACTGATGTTGTGACATTGAATTAATGGATTAAAAATGGGATATTTGAAAGGGGACAAGCTGAGAAGGAGTTCAAGGTTGAAGTTGAGGCAATTGGACGAGTTCGGCATAAGAATTTAGTGAGATTGCTCGGTTTCTGTGCTGAAGGAGCTCATAGGTACTCTGTTTTTGCCTAATTGCCTTAGCTTCATTATTTCAATTGTACCCTTTTAGTCTTGCAAACTAAAGTTTATTAATTTTATGGTGATCACAATATTGATGCAACTCAAAATCTTTTTATCTTGAAGTCATTTATGTAGTACTGTTTGTTTCTCATGTGATAGGATGCTTGTGTATGAGTACGTCAACAATGGGAACTTAGAACAGTGGCTTCATGGGGATGTAGGGCCTTCCAGTCCTCTTACTTGGGAGATTCGAATGAATATCATACTGGGAACAGCGAAAGGGTGCAAATCAAATCAATTTAAAATTATGTGATTTAATCCTTGATCTTTCTTCCTTCTCCTACCCTAATCCATGGCTTTCGTCATAACTGATTTAATCTTGTAGGTTAACATATCTTCATGAAGGATTGGAACCCAAGGTTATTCACCGTGATATAAAATCGAGCAACATTTTACTTGACAAGCAGTGGAATGCCAAGGTGTCAGACTTTGGCCTTGCCAAGCTCATTGGTTCTGAGATGAGCTACATTACAACCCGTGTCATGGGAACATTTGGGTAAGTTAGACCCTCTCTCCATGTGCACATATGTATGAGTTCATGTACTTGCATTTTCTTTCATTTACATAATAGCAATTTGTTGCTGCCTTTTGAAGCTATGTAGCTCCTGAATATGCAAGTACAGGCATGTTAAATGAGAGAAGTGATGTGTATAGTTTTGGAATTCTTATCATGGAGATAATATCTGGGAGGAATCCAGTTGATTATGGCCGGCCACCAGAAGAGGTTTGGACAGTTTTATACTAGCACTTTGTTGAATATAAGAGCTGAATAATTTAGATAATCTTTCTCATGGTTGTCTACTTTCCCTGTTTCCTCTAATGTTTTTTTAATTGAAAGTCTATAATTTTCAGGTGAACTTAGTTGAGTGGCTTAAGAAGATGGTTGCTAACAGGAATCCAGAGGGAGTGTTGGATCCCAAGTTAGCTCAGAAGCCTACTTCGAGGGCATTGAAGCGGGCTCTTCTTGTAGCTTTACGTTGTGTAGATCCAAATGCACAGAAGCGGCCAAAATTGGGACATATTGTACATATGCTAGAAGCTGAAGAGTCCCCCTTCAAAGATGTATTCGCCTCTTATTGAATATGAATTTAAGTTCTCTCTGTTTCTCTTTCTCTCCTTTGATTTCTTTTGGCACTTGAAATACTTTCTAGTTTGACATAGCATACTACATAATAAGGTAACATATCATATCACATCACATCAGATGAATGAGCCTTTTCAACCTTTGCTGTAAATGTGGAAAATCAACTATGCTTAGAGCACCGATGCTAGATATAATGCTACTCCTAATCAACCATTTCCTTCTCCATGCAGTTCATTTATACATTTTGATTTATGACCTGATTGTGCGTTCTTTCTCCCTAATTCCTTAAAATCTTTATTTCTTTCATTTCGATGTTTCAATTCAATTTTGGTACTTATCAAGTTGTGAAATTTCAGGATCGTAGATCTAGAAGGGCCGCAGAATGCTCAGATAGTGACAATATGAAGGTTGGGCTGAAAGAGAAGCAAGTAACTGAATCCGGTGATAGTATCGGGTGTGAAAGTGGCATGCATGCCGATAATACAAGATGGAGACATCAAGAAGAAAAGCTGTGAGAATTTTGCCAAACTTGTTTGAATACGAGGCTGGCCGTTGCAAATGGTGACAAAGTTATCCAGTTACATGCCTGGCTTTTACATAGGGTACTACTCTACATTGTTTGCTGCTTGTGTTTTTTGGTCCATATAGTTTCAAAAGAATGCCTGATTCAAATGTTGCCATTGTTCAGAAAAGCTTTGAGCATGAGTGTGCCATGTAATTTATTAGTCACATTATTGCTCACTTCTGTGATTCTTAAATAAAATTCTTTTCATATATAAAAAATTCAATCCAAATGATAGTTTCTTCATTATTAAAATTGCTGTTGTTGCTGAGAAATGACATAGGGTGGCATTGAGATTGTCAGTGTACTTGTATGAAGAGCCAAATATGAGATTTATTTTGCATCCATTCTGATATGATTTTATATCAAAGCTCTAAAAATGAATTCCCTAAATCAAATTGTCTTTTTAGACACTGAAATTCATGCTAAAGTAGTAGGTTGTTTTGTAATTTATCATAGAGAGCATTTTTGCTCACTATTTTAACTCAAGGTGTATCTTCATAACCATTCTTAATACTTGACATGTGTTCATATGCATAATCATGATTTTATAAATATAAAGTAAAAAGTTAATCATGATCATGTCTATAGACACGCATCAAGTATTAAGAAAAATGATGAGAAGACACATTTTGGTTAAAATAATAAGCAACCTTTTGCCCCCTCCAATGACATGCTTTTTAGTTGGAACCTCCAGTTGGCGAGTGGAGGGTTATTTTCAAATTTCAAGACAGCCCACATGATAGCAATTTAGAGTTTCTATACGAACTGGGGCCAGATGCACATCATCATTGATTCATCCCCATGTAACATGTTCATGTTGTTCCAAAATAGTATGATAAAAATTTCTACTAGTTGCAGTTTTGTTATTTATGAACGTTAATTCTTGGTTCCACGTCCATAAAAACTAATGCTTTTCTCAAACCTCTGGTGTGAACTGGCAGGGGAATCTCGACAAGATTAATGATCAATCCCTTCTAGGCTACTATATATTCTTCTTTTTCTGAAAAAGAGGTTTATTAAATTTGGGAAAGAATAGTTTAATTTGGACTTCATTTTCAAAAGGGAATGTGTGGCTACTAGCTAAAAAAAAAAAACCACCCCTTAGCACACTTGTATGCAACTCGGGAATATAAATATAATGAATTAATTGACTTTGCAGGTCCCTTGGTAGATTCTTTGGAAATGGGTATTTGTTTCTTTCTGTTTAGGATCACATTTCGGTCCAAATTCTTCTTCCATACTACCTACCCACACCACACCAAAGGAATGATTTTTGTAATTCTTTTTTTTTTTTTTAAATGTGCAAGTAATATTAAGGAAAGGGATTCGAACACAAAACCTAATGCATTATGCAGAAATGCAAAGATTCAAATACAAGACTTCGAGTGCAGAGGTTTTTACATCTCTCCATTGTAGCTCGTTGCGTAGGTGGTCTTGTTAAGTGAAATCTCTAGGAGACCTGACAAACCAACTTGGCCCAACTTTAACTTTACAAAAACTTCCCACCATAATTATAAAAAGAAAAGGAAAAGAAACAAATTTAAGAAACTCTTTATTGGTTATGACAAAATTCATAAATGAAAAGAGCAGAGAAAATTGACTGTACAAAAGTTTTTACTAGTTACAATATTCGAATAGATATTTACCTCAAGGCCCAGAACAATAGAGGCATGAAATTTTTTTCTCAAAAATTATGTCCATGTGGTTTAAATATTACAACCGAGGTAGCAAGCAAAAAGTGTAACAATCATATCCAAATTGAGAGAGTCGTAGCCAAAATTGTTCCACACAGCCACAGCAACTGGACTGATGTAGCAAAGTTACTGGGAGATTGAGATTGAGGAGTGGCGGTGGTGGTGGTGGTGGCGGCCGCAGGTGGTGGCGGAGCAAGTGTTGGGACATCGCATTGACCAAATGTAGCATTAGCATTACTACCATTTCCCTGCTCATACATGATGGATCAAAAAACTTAGACGATTCTCATATTTTCCTTGTTTGATAAGTTTATAAAGTTGTAATGGTAAATTCCACTCTGAAAGGAAATAAAAGTTGCAAACCTTGCAATATGTAATTCTGTCACACCCACATGTGAGATGGCCATTTGCTTCATCCACTGCTTCTGGGGCTCCCCCACCATCACTTTTCTGCAACAAAGAAAGCAAGAGGTTAGGCATGCATACAAATATGTCCTTTGTCCACTTTGACATTATTGCAAGGATTTTGCAATGGACAACGTGTCCATAACTATACCTCATAATAATCAACAGCAATGAAATTTGGCCACCGTTTCCCTGCTGCTTCATAACAACCTTTCGATGCGCTCAGTAAGGAAGCTGAATTGTCCATGCAAGACGCTGATGCGTTGGGGAAACCGCGAAAAAAGTTCATGAGAACTAGTGATCTAGATTTTGTATTCATGGGAGATGATTCAGCACGATTCGGACATGAACCAGGTGTCATCCCGCCATTTCCATCTGAGAATACAGTACACAAACAAAATTGAGGAAGAAGTGCAAGAAGCGCATCAATTGAATGATATGTTCATACTTTGATTTTAAGTAACCTAAAAGCAGTTTACAGAAGCTGCCTAAATGATAGAGTTTGGATGTTAAATGATCTCACTATAGATTCTGGAACAAACTTTAAACAAACAGTCTGGTGCGGTGCACAACTTTGTAGCTCATATTCCACACGTTCTTCATCGTGCTCAAAAACCAGTGTGCAGGGGTAGGGTTCTTAACTAAGTTGTATTGCCTTGAATTACTAAAAAACAAAATTGACATGATGAAAAGTTTAAAAAAAAGGACTCACATTCATTTTCTACCACGTATTTCCACTCATAAGCAATTCCCTCTGAAGCCTCCTTAGCTGACTTAGAGGTGAAGACCACCAGCCTCAGATTGTTCTTAACCATATCATCCACGGTTGGCCAATCTTCCCCATTCTTTGGCATCTGATCAACCGGGAACCAATACTTTTTAAGCCCAGCTGCCTGAAAGACCTTTGTCAAGCCCTGTGGAGATTCTACATAATCTTCAATAAAAATGGTGACAATCTCCGAGGGGTTTGCTTCCAAAAACGCTTGAATTTCTTTCAGCACATTAATAGCAGGTTGCTGCGGAGAAAATCAATGCACAAGCAAAATCAATAAATCAAAAGCAACATTTTCAATTTTGCAACCTTAATATAAAAACTGATCTAAGAATTTATATGTTTACTGTTGGTAAATCATCACTGAAGCACTTACAAATGCTGTGAAGTTGTAACATTTGCCACCAGTTGAGTGACATAACCAGATGTCGTTGTTGAAGTCATACATATCCAGCATAAGCCCTCGAACTCCATTCTGCCAATGATAGAAAAGCATATTTAATTTTGACCAAAAAAAGAAGAGAAGAAACTGAAAACAAGTAAACAATTCATTTCCACAATTTAGGTACACCAAAACAAGAAAAATATGTTGTGAGCAGTAGACTGTCAGAATAACTACATGGAGGAGAGTGAAGTGTTTCAGGTGGATTAGGTGAATGGTTCTCTTTTAATCAACACAAATAGCCAAATAGGCTCCATTTCTTCTTTTTTAATAAAAGGGGCAGGTAATTAGCAAAGAGAAATAAGGGGCAGCAAGACATGTGCCTCAATGATCACTTACACACCCACATACTTAATCTGATAACTTTATCATTCTTTAGAAGAAGGAAAAAAAAAAATCTTTCTTTTTAAAAAAAATTTGCCCTTTTTCCCTGAGAAAATTGTCATGCTTTTTAAACCTATTGATAGTCATTAGTAGGCTCCCTTAATAGTATCAGTTTTCAACGCTGAAGCTACAATGCATTGTGACAGCCACACGCTGGAAAGTTGAACAAGCTATGAAGGAGCCCTACTAATGAAAATCAATTTTAAAGAAATTGGAAAAAATAAAATGCAACACAGATTAATACAACACACAACAAAGTTCAACATTGAGCCTGCTTGACCGCATCAATGGAGGGGATGGGATCCGCTGTCCCCATTTTCCATGTCACTCCGTGTCCCTTGTATAATTTTTTGACATGTGTCCAACAACTTAACCCTAACATAACACTGTTAACTAATAAATTAGAAAAATAAAAACTAAACATTAAAAGAATAAAATTCACAGGTCTCACATCTTGGAAGGCTTGGGGAAAATGTCAGGTTATTGCAATCCTTATGAAAGCAATTTGTGGGTTTATTTTCCCCATTGGAACCTTCACAAAGCCATCACTCTTTGAAGAAAAGTGGTATCTGGCATCCCTCCTTCATGCGGCCATGAATTCCGGTTTAAGAGTTTAGAAAGTTTTGATCTCTCATACATAATTATATGATACCTCCCTGTGAGGTTGCCATAGATAGGAGATTGAGAGACTTGTCAAGGGCAAGAAAAATATATATATATGCAACAAAATATAAAATTGTTATGTATTTATAGGGAAAGTGAATAAAATTGTTATGTATTTACAGGGAAAACATCCATAATTTTTTGGTATTTTTTTTTTAAAAAAAAATTGAATTTTTTATAATTTTGTTGAATTTTTTTTTGCTCGCTGACGTCAGCATAACACCAGCGCTGACGTCAGCGCCCTCGGGCTGAAGCCCAGGCGAAAGTTGCCCTTGGGCCTGCCCGGGCTGGTGGGACCCAGCCATTGCCCGAGCTCTTTTCTGCGCGCTGGAGGGGAGTTGGGCTGCTAGGGGGGCCTTTTGCCCAGGTTTTGGGTGAGCGCTGGAGATGCTCAGGGGAGAGGGCTAGTCTGCAGTGAGGAGGACAAGGGGTTGTGGCGGGTGAGGTGGTGGGCGCTCAAACCGGTGGCTGTATGGTTATATTTATTCTTTTAATGTTTACTTTTTATTTTTCTAATTTATTAGTTGATAGGGACAGCGGACCCCATCCCTCAATGGAGTGGCAATGCCACGTCATCAGACACAAATTTTTTTGTCAACCAAGAAATAAGAAAACAAAAAAATGATAATATATAAAAATTCCATTTTTTCGGTCAACAATTCAAAAGTGACTGCCGCATCAAAATTAAAATTCGACCACGCCACCCTGCCCCTGGCCCTTGGCATGCAAGAACTTTACATTCCCGAAAAAATAAATATAAATTCCAGCAACCCAAATATTAAAAAAGTGAAAAACAAAAATGCAGGAGACAGAAAACAGAAAATGGGAAAGAGGAAAATTACAACAACAACAACAACAACAAAAACTTACTTTGAGTTGAGAGGCTACGGTGTCATTCTGGTTCATCGGAGTAACAAGCAAGGACCCAGTGGCTGACCTCACCCCAGCTTGAGCGAATGAGTTGTGGGTGGTTAGCCATGAATACCGATTAAATGGCAGACCTTTCACCTAATCCAATAACCACCAATTAAATTTAGACAAAATTCAAACCAAACCCACATGCACAACCCTAAACAATATTGAATTATAATTATTGATATGGGAAAAATTAATAACCTTCGATGTGGGACTTGTGGGTTGAATCCGGGTACATCTGGGTCGGGTGTTTCCATTTGCAGCGCATGTTTGGCAGCTTAACCCGGCGTCGCACTCGCTGTCTTTGGAACAAGTCTCTCCGATCTGTTTGGCATTTGGGAAACCAAAAAGGTCAAAAAAATTTGATGCCCAGAAAATGAATTACAATATAAGATAAAGATATGGTAAAAAGATGGAACCTTGAGACAGGAAGAGGAACAAAATAGGCAAACTGCGATGAACAGAGCTTGAAGCTGGAGCTTCATTAATAAAGTTCCCATCTTTATGTTCTCTGCAATCAAAGAAACAAAAGACGAAAGTAAAAAGCAAAAGGGTTCAATTGGGTTGTGTTGTGTCAATGTGGTGGATTGAGGGGTTTATGGGTTTTCAAGAAAGGAAACAGAGATTTAAGGATGTGACATGACAAAAGGAAAAACCTTTGTATTGTAATTTGCACCTCAATTTCCAGGTATCACCTTCTTTTTCTTTTTCTTTTTGGTTGGAAAAGTTTCAGATTGAACTTTATGCAAAGAGAGAGGGAGAGATGGTGATAGAGTGTGAGAGTGAGATGAGAGATGAGATGTATATGTGCTTGAAAGAAAGAGAGTTCTGGTAGTTTGGTTTTCCCTCTCTTTCTGATGAAGGTGGGGTTGGGATGTGGGGATGGTTTTAAAACTCTCTCCTGGGCTTACATTTACACAATTTAATTTGACAAAAATATATGGGAATTTGAGGAAAGAGAGGTGTGTTTGGGTTACAGGGTGTCGCATAGGTTATTTGGTATATGACACAAGTCAGATGGAAACGCGTCGGCGTCCGTTAGGTGCTGGAAGGCTCTATGTCACTTTAGCATCTGCCATCTCTTTTTGTTTTTCTATTTTTATCTGTTTATTTTATTTTATTGTTTACTAATTTGTTTTTTTTAAAGGCAACTAAGCCTACACCTAAAACGCATGGAACAAAAGAAAAACTTTGGAGTCCACATGAATTCAACAAGCAAACACAACATCAAAAGGTGGCATCTCAATAGACATGCTTCAATCCAACACGGTTCCCATACGCATTATTCTTTTAATTATAAATTAATCAAACATTTATCAATGATTTGATCCTTAGAATCTTTTTCTAACAAAATAAAGAATAAGTATCACTAAACCAAATGATAATAAATTCGTAAATATTATAAATTAATAATAAAGCATACTTTTAAAGAGAAAATAATTTTGCGAGTGCATGGTCTAAATTTTTTATTTAAAAATGACGTGACTCACAACTCATTGATTATATTGTGAATTCAACATTTAATTAGAAAATGACTCATCATGACTCGTAACTCAGGAAATGTATTGTGATTTGACTTTGGTTTTAGGATAAGAAGAAATATAAATATTTCCTAAAGAATTTTATAAAAGTCAAAAAGATGTTCTCTATTATTATTATTACAACTACTAAAACTTTTAAGAAATTGTGTTTTTTTTTTTTCTAAATTATAACAAAAACAAAGTGATACTATTTGACATCTATTTTTGGTCCACTTTATGAGATGACCCACTATCACCTACGTATAAACTATGCATCATGGTTATGGATCATATAGATCCAGTTACAAATGGAAGCTTTTTATTTATATTTTGTTTAATTTTTGTTCCTGACCAGTGAACATGCATAATTAATCAAGAGTACTGCTAAACGAATCTTAAAATTAATTGAGTATATCTTATTATTAAATTACTAATTTACACTAATATAAAATGACCAAAAATGATATATTGAATTGAGAAACAAATATAATTTTAATAAGTACACTATACTCACCATATTCAACCCTAATCAAACATAGAGAAGTTTTGGTATTGTTTAGTGTCCACGAACAACGCAACTAGTATTGACGGAAGCACAAGAAGGTGTCGTTGAATATTCGAAAGTCTTGTGTTCTTGCGTTGAATGTTCTATTGGGAGGGTACACCTATGGGGAAAAATGCCTATTTCAATGAGTGGCATGTAGGCCTTGTGCCATTGTGAGTAGTTTCAACTAATTAATTGGTTAGCTGTGTGGTTTTCTTTCTTAATTCTTTTGTTATATGTTTCCTTCTTTCTTTATTTTCCTTTTTCGAGTAAAGTTAGTGATGGTGGAGTTCTTATCATTATGCATCCTTTAATACTTTTAACTACCAAATATCGTCCGTATGGATTTTATAAGGATGATCGAAGTGTTGTAATTCATAACCTTGCACATCAGGTGGATGTTTTTTTTTCTTTCTTTTCATGATACCAATCTTCAATCATATGTCCCATCCAATATAAAAACATAGTTATTTTTAAGGGAGTTTCACTAAAACACCCAAAATGGAGGTTGAAATTATAAAAAAACCCAACACCCAAAACACTTTATAAACACACCCAAAATCCATCATTACACACACTCAAAACCCATTTATAACCACACCCAAAAAGTTGACTTTGGGGTTGATTTTGGGTGTGTTTCTATGTTTAAATAGTGCTTGGGTTTTTTTATAAATACATGTTTAGGATTGGGTTTATTTATAAATTTGTATATTTTTAAAGGAATTTTACTCAGAAATAAGAAAAGAAACTCATAAAAACTTTCACAAGATAATAGAACATATTTGGAGGGCAACAAGTTCAATCCAAAAATAAGAAATAAATAAATAAAATTACAAGGATTTACAAGAATCAAGCTTTGAATTGAAGAAGCTAGCAAATCTACTCTCGCAGCATCTTACGAAATTAAAGATTTTGATACAAACCCAAAATCTGAAAAGAGGACATGAATTTATATAAAAAGAGAAAAACTTGGTTTAGGATTGGTATTAGGGCATTGTGTGAATTTATTTTTTTTGGGTTCAAAAAGGGTGTTGTGTGATAGAGTGTTTTAGGATGTACCATGGATGTTTTTAGTAGTTAAATAAGGTATATTTAGTTAAATTGTACATTTTGATTAAAATATTAAGGTGTACTTAGATCATAAGGTGTAGTCAATTAATTTTAGGATTCGTTTAGTAGCACTTTTAATCAATGGCAGATTCATAAATTTTTATAGCGATAGACTCAGCAGTCAGCATTTACTTATTCTTTTAAAATAAAAAATAAAAATAAAAAGCTTCAAAACAATGAAAGGGCAAAGTGACGGAAGGACAAAGAGAAATTTCTAGGCGCGCCGACATCTGAAGGGAAAAGAAAGAAACACGTTTGGGTTCTAGAAAGATTTTAATTTTCAGCCCTCTCTCTCTCAACGGCCTGGACCATATTTGCTTGAATAAATAAACAAGTTCATCTATTTTAACCTTGTATTTGCAGTCATGTATGACTGAATTAATAAAGCCGTCCCAGTATGATTTTGCTTCATTATACATATCAGTTGATCCGTTCTGTTAATTTGCTTCTGGACTTCTAGACTTTGTAGTGCAGATAATTTAGAAAACAACACACACATACAACAAACCAAATCATGGATTTAGCGTCCAACACCAGTATAAGGTTTGGTTTAATGTAAACTTCAATGAAATGGGGAAGTTGGACCCTGTCATCTACATACAAGTATGCTTGCATGTGATATGAATATGATAATAAAACTTGTGTCACGCTTCACTTGAATCTTCCTTGGTTTAAGGTCAAAATTAACGTTGTACTTTACTTTCATCTTCCAACTCATTAGCAGTCTTTCAAAGGTTCTTTGGCCCATTTTTCAGGTCATTATATTTGATTGTGAGTGTAAACGTACATATTATAATATGAGTAGACAATGAATTTATGTTTTAGAAAATAATATTAAAAATTAAAATACATCTTATATTATAGGTGAATTATAACATCACGTGACGGTCTGAAGAATTTCTCAATTCTTTTTTGTCAAATTGTGGAGCACCTTCATTAATATTGTTTGTAATTTTATGGTGGTACAAGAAGAAGAGAGAAATCACGGGTGGACAATCATGTTACAGAGGAAAGAGGTATTAGGTGGTGTCCCACTTTTTCCCAAGCCATAGACGAAGATAAGATCGATGTGAAAAAACTTTCTGGCTAACACTCATTTTGGTCACTATATGCTTAAGTGGTCCATATCTTCTTGATTAGCACGATGGAATTGAGCCATGGATTATGGATATTTATAGCCAAGAATATTGTATCACACAAATGCCATTGCATTGCTCATCAATGGCTGCCCTAGCCCTGCAAATTTTATGTACAGCTTTATCTGCAATCACTCACTTCATCAGCTCAGTTTCAGCACAATCCAATGCTTATATCATCCACATGGACTCAAAAGCCATGCCAAAAGCCTTCTCTGGCCACCAGAGTTGGTATTTGGCAACCCTTTTATCTATCTCAGACAGTCCTAAAGCATATACTTTCGGTACCACAAAGCTCATCCATACATATACTAATTCTATCCACGGTTTTAGTGCAATTCTCACTCTCTCTGAGCTTGAAGCTCTCAAAAACTCCCCTGGCTTCATTTCTGTCACTCCTGATGGCCCCCTCAAACTCCACACCACCCATACTTCTCAATTTCTTGGCCTAACCTCCTCTTCTGGTGCCTGGCCTGCTTCGAATTATGGTGAAGGTGTCATAATTGGTGTACTTGACACTGGAGTTTGGCCTGAGAGTGAGAGCTTCAAAGAGTATGAAGGAATCACTGATGTCCCTTCTAGATGGAAAGGGAAGTGTGTATCTGGCACCCAATTCAATTCTTCCTTGTGTAACAAGAAACTCATTGGGGCTCAGTTTTTCAACAAAGGATTCATTGCCAACAATCCTGACTTGAAGATTGGGATGAATTCACCCCGCGATACGAATGGACATGGAACTCATACTTCCTCCACTGCTGCTGGTCGTGATGTGAATGGTGCATCCTATTTTGGTTATGCTACCGGCACAGCAAGAGGCGCGGCGCCAAGAGCTCGAATAGCTATATACAAAGTGGTTTGGTTTGATAGTGTATACAAATCTGATCTTTTTGCGGCAGTGGACCAGGCAATTCAAGATGGGGTGGATATATTGTCAATCTCCTTGGGTCATACCTTGGATGACCACTTTTTGGATGATGACCCAATTG